CCGCCCGCGACAGCCTCCGTTTCTTCTGCCGCCGCTAAACGCCGCTATCTGCCGCATGCAGACCTCGCCTGCTGATTACGGCGGCTGGCCCATTGTCTCGCGTTGCTTGTCTTGAGGGGCGCGGGACGGCCGGCGGGAGCGGTACACCCACTGGGCCGGCCCGGCCCAGCGTTGCGCCGCCGCCGCACCGAAGGCCGTGCGACTTTTTGCGCGACGTTTCGTGGTGGCGCTCGGGCTCCCGACCGTGTCGCCGGCATCACCGCCGCTGGAGTACCGGGGTCAAAGTGCGGCCGCGCCGCGCGGGCGGGGGCGGTGGCGGCGGTGAGGCGGTGTGCACCAAGCGCTCGAGAACATGATCTGCAAGCTTTGGCAACGCTCCAGGTCGCTTCAGGTGCGGCGGAAATCGGTTTAAGAGTGGGCATTCATGTGTTGCTGGCGGAGTAAGTCGACTACCCGCACTTCAAAAGTGCACCTACGCTTTATGATTTTGACCTCCCCGGGCGTTGAAAATACTGGACGGCCTCCCCGGGGATTTGACTCGCCGCTCCAAATGCCAGGCGGTTGTTGGAGCTTGTCAGTGAGAGGCTTTCATCCCGCGTTAGCTTTGCTTGGCGAAGTCTGCCGTGCCGCCTCTCAGGCAATTTCACCGTGTGTCGTCGGCCGGCAAGTTCGGTGAAGACGATGTATCTCGGTGGCGTGGAGCAGAGTGGCAGGGGGGAGGGAAGGGAAGACGTCGGACCCCGGGCGCCGGCTGGTTGACCCTGGCGGCACTTGCTCCCGACGTGACCGTCGCGTCACCCCGAGGTCGGCCAGACACGCCCGCGCCACCGGGCCGGGAAGAGGACGCCCCACATCCGACGGCCGCTGCTGTCCTCGGCTGGACGGTATGACCGGAAATATCGGTCAGCCATGCGCCCCAGCGGCGCGGCCAGCTCAACCGCCGGGGACTTTCCATTGGCTCTTTGTCGAAGAGAATGCTTCACCTTGAAGTGTAACCGGAAGAAGATGACAGATCATCCAGCAGAGTATCCTGACATCGTAAATAATCGGGGGAGGGTGAGAAGTTCACCATTCGCTCCTGTCAAAAGGTTAAGGGAATATTAAGAATTGACAAAAGGAAAGATTCTTGCTTGCTATGCCACACCACTTACGTGTCTCTCAGACCAATCACGTTTTTCCAAGGCTCGCCGTTTGAACACGATGCAACGTGGAAATTCTTTCATCCTACGCGTCGCATTCTTATTTAGGGAATCGACAAAGCGAGCTGTTCGGATGCATATCGTGGCAATCATCATTCTTCGCAGCTAATCGGCGGCCTAAAATTGTCCTCTGGGGTGATGGATGACAGATCTCCATTGGTAGATTGGCTGAACAGGTTTGTGCGCTGGTCAAATTTGACTACATTCAAGTAACGTAAGGCCTCCAACGACCGATTGCGGCCTTTCTTGCTGCTGGGCCTCATTATTGTTTTTGACGTTGTTGGCATATACCTAACACAAAATATCAACCAAACTAATATCTTTCGAATTCAGAAACTGGCGCGTATTGAATGACTAAACATATGGCTGCGAACATCCCCATGCGCGCCACGATCTGGCCGCTCCTGTTAAAACGTCATATAGGTCAAGGAGAAACATTCCCTTACACTGTGACAGGGCGGCTGGCACGCTGCGTTGGCCGATCAGTCGGCATCTGGCGGTCTGCGTCGGCCAACCGGCGGCTGCCGCCAGCGGCTGCCGACTGCCCGTGATGAGCCGAGCCCTGCAGTCGGCGGAGTGCGGCGCCCCGGGTCGCGTCCTGCCGCCTCGGCTGCCGGCGCACGCACCACCGCGTCTCGGGCCAGCGCCCGGCCGGGCCGGCCTCGGCGCACGCGATGCTCGCCGGCGCCGTGCGGGCGTCGCGTGCCGGAGCGTCTCGCCCTGCGGCCAGGCGCCACCCGACAGGTATCCTCGGTGCACGTCCCGGTCGGCCCCGGAAACCTGTCGGAAGTTTCGCTTTTCTCGCGCCTCGGTTTGGGCAGCAGCGCGCCGGTCCCCAAGCTGGTCGCGCCGGTGCGGTCCGGTCGGCGGTTTCTCCGGGCCGGTCTGGCCGCGTGCCACTGTTGTGACCTCATCTCCGTGTCGCCGCGCTCGCCGGCGCGCCCGCTCGAGAGGCCCCGATTGATGCGGCTGTCGAGCGATCGGTGTTCGAACCGGCGGCCGATCAGTCCGAGGCTCAGCGCCGCCCCCGCCGAGTGAATCCGGCAGGGGCGGACCAAGCGGCCGCGGGTCGCTCCCAGGCTCACCCCCACAGCGATTCATCAGCTGTGGGTGGTCGGGGCGGTGCGACACGTCAGCAGGTCTCATGCCAGCATCTGGCCGTCCCCCGCGGCGTGGTCGCGGCCTGTTGGCAGACGATTGTGGTGTCTTCGCTCCGCTGTCGAGCGCACAAGCTCGGCCACGGCATCGACGCCGGGCGGTTGGCGCCAATGGTGACCATCTATTCTCGAACAGACAAGCACAACGGCTGTTATGTTTTGGTAGCGATAGCATGAATTGGCAAGCGAAACGAGAAATCGGAACAAGTTTCTGCTTATGTTATTTATACACGGTTCGCGCTCGGGCCCCATCAATTTGGGTGACACTTGGCCGAAATGCGCTGCTCAGTGTGTTTTCAATTTCCAAACATGATAAAATTTAGTCGACCGAGGCGGCACCCCAGGCTTTTCTGGGCTCTAAATCCGGGGTTATCCAATTATATCTACTGCAAAATACATAGGGGTTCGAGATAGCCATTAAGGGAACAGAGCCTCGACAAACATCTCCAAACGAAGGCGCCTCAGCAAACATCTCCAGCCGGCTCATTGCAAACATCTGAGTAATTTCCTTTGGACACGCCGAAGATGGCGATACCGGGACACTCCGGCTTTGAACAGTCTGGCATTCCCCATCCATCATAATAGGCGTGACGGCACAGGCTCTTGGCTGCGCGTGGCCCGGTGACTCGCTGCGCTGGCCGGTGCTCATCGGCGTGCGGTGAGCTGTCACCGGACTAGAGGTGAGCTGTCACCGGACGCCTCCCACGCCGTTGACTGATGATCAGCGCCGTGTGCACAGCTGACTGACGGCTCGGCGCGCAGCCGGCCGGCAGTCGGGGAAGCGGCGCCACAGCAGTGTTGCAGCCGGTGACGGAACCGCCGGTAGACGGCCGGTCCATGGCTGGGACGGTGGGCCTCGACACGAAGGAAGAAATCGAAAGCACGCGCGTGATTTCGATTCCCGTGGCGCAATTCAAATGACGTGACGTGCGCCTTCACCGTGATTTCAATGTTGCCGGCCGGCGACTGTTGCCGCTCGGGCCGCTCGCTTGCGGCGAAGACCGCCGACATTCTGTGGCAAGCGTCGCTTCGCGGTCTGGCCAGCGGCGCGTGATGGTCCGGTTAGTGGTGCCTGATGGTCCAGGGGAGGCAAATGCAGAGGTAACGCGTGGCTAGCGCCGCTTGTTGGTCTGGACAGCGTCGCCTGGTGATCTGACCACCGACACCTGGCGGTCCGGCCAGCGGCGCCTGTTGGCCCGGCCAGCCTGGTGATCTGGCCAGCGGCACCTGGCGGTCCGGCCAGCGGCGCCTGATGGTTCGGGCAGCGGCGCCTGGTGATCTGGACGGCGACACCTGGCGGTCCGGCCAGCGGCGCCTGATGGTCCGGCCAGCGGCGCCTGTTGGCCTGGCCAGCCTGGTGATCTGGCCAGCGGTGCCTGGTGATCTGGCCAGCGGCACCTGGCGGTCCGGCCA